ATGGCCTCGACATTGACTGGGAGTACCCTGAGAATCAGGCCGATTCCAACAACTTTGTGCTCCTGCTCCAGGCTTGCCGGGCAGCCCTCGACAAGTATGCGAGGGACAACAATCAAAACTACCGCTACCCCCTCACCATCGCCGTTTCAGCCGGCCCCGAAAAGTATAAACTCCTGAACATGAAGGCCATGGATCAATACGTTGATACGTGGAACTTGATGGCCTACGACTATGCTGGTAGTTGGGACACCACCACTGGACACACCGCGAACCTATTCTCCAGCAGTGCCAACCCGCAGAGCACCAAGTTCAACACCGACCAGGCCGTCAAGGACTACATCAAGGGTGGAGTCTCACCTAGCAAGATCGTTCTGGGAATGCCCCTCTACGGACGCTCGTTCCTCAACACCGCCGCGCAGCCGGGCCAGCCCTACCAGGGAATCCCCTCAAACACCGGCTCCGACGACGGCGTTTGGCTCTACCGCGACCTCCCGCGCCAGGGCGCCCAGGTCAAGATCGACACCCAAGCCGGGGCAGCGTGGTCCTATGATGCCACCACCAAGGAGCTCGTGTCGTTCGACAACCTCCCCGTCGGCCTGATGAAGGCCGACTACATCCGCAAGCAGGGGCTCGGCGGCGCCATGTTCTGGGAGGCGGCCGGCGACAAGACGGGACAGGAGAGTCTGGTCGGGGCTGTTGGGAATGCCCTGGGGTCGCTGGAGCTCTCAAACAACATGCTCGACTATCCGCAGAGTCGATACAGCAACATCCGCAACAAGATGAAGGTGTAGATGTCGCAACCCCCCTCAGGGGGCTTCAAAATAAGGATGATATTTCAGGAGTGGTAACTTGAGGATTGGTAAGACCTCGGCAAGAAGGATGTCACAAGGAAGTTGGAGGTGTTTAAGGATGATTTCAGGTTTAGCGGCGTACAATGTTTGCTTGTTTTTTCCTTTCTTTTTTTTTTTCTCGTCATTTTGGTCAACTGATTTTACGGACCTACTCATCGCATTGCATAATTTTACGAGCATACAGTATCTGGTATCCAACGAGACTACTTGCTCATCGACACAATAGTAGTAATACAGGGTTTCTAGGTTATTGCTTTAGTACAGAAAAATCAGAACAGATTACTCCTACCTCATCTATTATTAATAGCCCTGGTCTCACCGCGGAGGCGCTCACACAGTACATCAAAACCTGATACCGGAACAAACAAGTGAATAGAAACGCGAATATCCATTGACAACCCGACTCCCCGTCCAAATTCTACCAAAGTACATATAAATGCAATAGGGTCGCGATACAAGAAACGGCAATAGGTTTTAAAAAAAGAAAGGAAAGGGAGAAGGTAGCCAACGCCTCTCTCTGCCTGCCCACATACGCGTGTTGCGGGTTTTGTATCCACGCCATTCTCCGTCGTTGTCCGTCAAATCTTCCACGCTACCTGACGATATCTGTTTATATTTATCCTTTCTCCTTCTTTGAATCCCATTAGACAGCTCATTCCAGAAACTAAAACCATGTCTTCACAGAAGCCCTTCTCCATCCCTGCAGAACGTGAACCCTGAGTCACCATTTCAAGTCACAATGCCTACAGGTCTTGCCCTGGTGTTCCAGTTGTGTCCACACCGTGGAAAGCGTCGCCGAAGGCAGAGTCTTCGATGTCCATCTGAAGATCAAGCCCGTCACCTAGCTCACCTGCTGACCCATCGAGACCAGGTGTATCGAAGTTGGCCAAAGCGTCTCCTGCGGTATCGAGATCCCCCAATGAGCTGAAGTCATTCTGGTCAAATGTCGCAGAGCCTGGGTCAGTAATGGCAGGGGTGGCAGCAGCTGAGAGGGGCTTTGAAGGTACGGCGGATGCTTTAGGGGTGCCCTCATTTGCCCCCGAAGGAGTGCCTCCCGCCCCGTTACCAGCGTCATTTCGTGCGGCTTCCTTTGGAACAACTACCCAATCCCCGCTACCGGTCCCTTGATCCGGTGCTAAATCGGATGTGTCCGTACCGCCCATGGCAATATCTTTTGCCTCTGATTGTGCTCCCGACTGTGATTGTGTCTGAAGCTGTGAGGGAGGCTGCTGCTGTTGCTGAGCCTGAGATGGGGCAACGGCGGGCGATGCGGCAGCATTAATATTCGAAGGTGTTGCTGCATTTGAGTGAGCTGCTGATAATTGAGGCTGAGGAGTAGGGAAGCTGTTGACGGGTGTCGATGTAGAGGAAAACCCAGTGTGCATCTGATCTAAAAGTCCTGCAGCGGTTCCTCCCATGTCAACATCAGATTCACCAATCATGATACCACTGTTTTGCGAGCCATTTTGGGAGCCGTTTTGAGATGCCTGTCGAGACATCTGGGTGGGTTGAGTTGGCTGAACTGGTTGAGGGGTTGGAGCCTGATAGCCTCCAGTTTCCACACATTTCACGCTGGGTCTGTTCTCAATTTTGAGCCCAGTTGCCGTCTCCGTCTCCTTCACCACGTCTTCTGTTGCCTTCTTTATCGACTCTTCGCTCGAGTTTCCATTGGTGGGTCTCCACAGGTCAGTCCCAGAGTCTTCTGCGTCCCGAAGTTCTCTCTCTTTGACTCGTAAAGTCGACATCTTTTTCATATCAGCGAGAAGGTCTTCATGAGCCTTCTTCATGGCATCCATGGCTGCCTGTTCCGCTTTGATGTGTTCGTCAACCCGCTTGCGGAACTCGTCTGCTTTCCCAGCGTCCAGTCGCCCAACATAGGCCTTATCATTGGACTGACTGAAGGCATCACCGCCGTGAGAGGTGAATATGCCCTCAGTCAAAGATGCTAATTCTCCCTTGAGGCCAAGGCCCAAGTCTGCAGGGGTAATCTGGTTAATCCGGTAGGGCGAAGATAGAATCTCTTCCATCCACTCGTGGTTTTGCTGGTAGCGGCCGAGTGAAATCTCTCTTGGGGTCAGATGGTCGAACATGTCGCCCCGAGATGTGTCCTCGTCATCATCAAAGGCGCCCTCTATTGGGATCGCTCCATGGAACTGAGGGGGTTGCTGTTGAGCGTGGCCTTGAGAGTGGCGAGCACGCTTGGCAGGAGGGCCAGGTACGGACTGTGGTGGGTATGCCATCTGTTGAGGGACACCACGAGGTGCCATTTGAGGTTCCATTTGCTGACGGGTCAGCTCCGGGAGTGAGGGCCAGTTGGCGCGGTCGGAAAGCATGAACTCTTTTCGACGAATCTGGCCCGCCCGTTGCAGATACTGTCTCTGCTGCATGGCAGCATGAACACGCTGATCATAGGGGATCATCGTCACGGGCATCGTGTCGTTCGGGTCGGAAGGTCCATAGTGAACAATGAATAGATTCGAGTCGGGTTGGGGCTGGGCGGGATGGCCAGGAACGGGAACCAATCGAAATCTTCGTCGAGCATGTTGCGCATACTGTTCCCCAGGGATATAACCAGCCTTGAGATAATAGATCTCGAGATGCTGTTCCAATAGTTAGCGTCGTAATGTATATGGGGTATCGTCGCTCTCCTACCAGACCATTGCCCAAGTCATGCTTATATAGCTGCTCGGGTGGTGCCCACACGAACCCATCAGAAGCGAAGTTGGTCCCAAGCCTCTGGAGGGGCTGCCAGGTCATGAGAACCGTCCCATCGGCGGGCTTATCGAGGTATGTCCAAAAAAAGGGCGCCTTGTCGCGAGCAACATGAGGAGCATTCATCAGCCATTTCGCAACATCTTGGAGGTTGATGTGGGAAACGGCAGGGTATCGAAACGAGGACACGAGGTGGACATGTTGCATCTGCTAGCTATTAACATTCAAGTTCATCGAGTGCAAGTACGGATAGAGATGGCGCACCAGGTCCTGGGGGACGCTGAGACTGGGGTCTGGTTGGCTCATCCTGAATCGTCCGTCGCCTTCGCGGTCGCGATCGAGGAAACACGGAGAAGGTGCAATTCGCGACAGAGGAAAGAGAAATCGACCTGAATGTTTCTATGTGGACAAGCTCCCCGTACCGCACGGCAGTTAATTGAAGGGCCGTATTGTCGATCGATGGATACGCAGTCACATGGACGTCGTGGCCAGTCGGAAAGCGAATGAAGCTACTGCTTCTTTGATGGATGCAATTGCGCAGGTGCTGCGCGCGCCGCTCCAAAATTCCTCGCGACAGACAGGCAGGCCAGCCGGCCAATCAAAACGCGGGACTGGCTGAGGTGGAGAAAAATGGAACCGCGCCGAAAAGGCACCTTTTAGGTCCATTATCCACAAAAATTCAGGTACATGCTTAGTAACCATGCTCCTCAACTTCCCAGGAAGTCCTCTTCTGTATATCCTTTCCAGGTGGTCGCAAGACGTCTCGCATAATGCCTTTTGGCCATCAGTACTTATTGAATTCTCGCCGTGATAATGGCTAATAATGGCTAAATCCTACCATATGAATTCTACAAGTAGTGTACGAAAAAGTTTCGTGGCTTCACGGTATAAGTTTATCCAATGTTTTGACCCAAGCGAGCGATACGCCCCAGCAAACGCAAAGGTATTGTCTAGAGCACAGAGAGCATACAAAAGCCGCACAAAAAGATTTTAGAAGTTATCATATTATCGTTATCTATGTTCCACGTTGTCTGTCAGTCCCATGACTCCTTTTCCCCGCGATCGTTGCTACAACCTGACCTTCAGGTCATACAACTGCCCCAGTTACGAATATTCCTCCCATCTGCAGATGCGGATGAGAACAGCGGCGTATCCCAACGATATCCTTATGCTCGTCATGATGTGGAATATTCAAAACGAACTAAAGCTGCCCTGTCCCAGGATATTTATATGTATTTTTTTGAGCAACGGCGAGAGTGATCTCTTCCTTCCATTCCATTGGTTATAAAAAAACGTTCAGAGAAAAAAAAACAGTTTCCAATCTTCACCATCTGAATTATGCCTGGTAGGTAGAAGCAGAAACATTGCCACCACGGCCAGTCCAGTTGACGTGAATGTCCTGTCCGACAGGGTACTTCTCGGTGGCAGCCTCGGGCTTCACACGGAAAGTGTGGGCACCGAAGTAGTCACGCTGTGCCTGCAGAAGGTTGGCAGGGAGGTCCTTGGTGCGGTAACCATCGAACCACGATAGAGCAGTGGAGAAGGCTGGGGTTGGGATACCGATGAGGGCAGCCTTGGACACAACATCTCTCCAGCCGGGCTGGGCCTTGTTGATGGCGTTGTTAAAGAAGTCATCAAAGAGCAAGTTCTGGAGGTCGGGCTGGTTGCGGTAAGCAGCAGTGATATCCTTGAGGAAGACGGAACGGATGATGCAGCCACCACGCCACATGAGGGCGATGGAAGGCTTGTTCAGCTTCCACTTGTACTCCTTGGCGGCCTCCTGCATCAGCATGAAACCCTGGGCGTAGGAGACGATCTTGGAGGCATAGAGGGCCTGCTCAAGGTCGTCGAGGAACTGCGCGCGGTCGCCCTCGAACTTGGCGGAGCGGCTGACGAACTGGAGCTTCTGGGAGGCGACAGTGCGCTCATCCTTGATGCTAGACAAGCATCGTCCAAGGACAGCCTCGGCAATAAGAGTAACGGGCATGCCAAGGTCAAGGGCGTTGATGGCGGTCCACTTGCCAGTACCCTTCTGGCCGGCCTTGTCCAAGATCTTCTCGACCAGAGCAGTGCCGTCATCGTCGTTGAAGTACAGAATATCGCGGGTGATTTCGATCAGGAAAGAATCCAAAACACCGGTGTTCCACTTGGCGAAGACATCACCAATCTCCTTGCTGGTCATTCCAAGACCTCTCTTCATGATGTCGTAGGCCTAAACAAATGATCAGTTCCATAATGCTCTTTCCATATTCCAGGGAACATTCACGCACCTCGCAAATAAGTTGCATGTCACCGTACTCAATACCGTTGTGGACCATCTTGACGTAGTGACCAGCACCCTCATCACCGACCCAGTCACAGCAGGCTTCGCCGTCGCTCTTAGCGGCAATGTCCTGGAACATGGCCTTGATGTGAGGCCAAGCCTCCTCGTTACCACCGGGCATCATGGAAGGACCAGTGCGAGCACCATCCTCACCACCGGAGACACCGGAGCCGACGAATCTGAGGTTCTTCCCGGCAAGGTAGCGAGAGCGGCGGTTGGAGTCGGGGAAGTGGGAGTTACCACCGTCGATGATGATATCGCCGGCATCAAGGAGGGGAATGAGCTTCTCAATCCACTCATCAACAGCAGCACCGGCCTGGACGAGCAGCATGACACGGCGAGGGGACTTAAGCTTGCTGACAAACTCCTCAATGGTGTCAGCACCGACGATGGACTTGCCCTTGGCCTCATTCTCGAGGAATCGGTGGACCTTGGAGACAGTTCGGTTGAAGGCGGCAATGGTGTAGCCGTGGTCGGCGAAGTTCAGGATCAGGTTCTGTCCCCTAGATACGAGCATTGCGGTTAGTATGAATAACCCAGATGGAGAGGCCATTGGAATCAGGATCAACTTACATGACAGCCAGGCCAATGAGACCCAGATCCGCGCTTGGAGCACTGTTAGCATTTTCTGACGAAGAGGTTGCTGCAGCAGAAATTGAAGCATGTGAGGATGGGGGACCGCCAAGCTTGATGTTTGCGAGGCGGGCACTGGTATGATATCATAAGCAATGTCCAGACCAGTAGCCCGACCGCGGCAAGGGGGATGTGCATAGGGATCAGAAAATCCATTGATTGAATCAATTGCCAAACTCAAGCTCCTCCGCCCTTAAATAATAAAGAGCTTCCAAAGGAGAGGCAGATTGGAATCAAGAGCAATGGCAGCTGTGAGGTTTGACTTTTGGAGCGGGGTGGCGGGGTAATCACAGCGGTAAGCTCAAGGTGGGTGATGTAGGAGGGGGAGCTCAAGGACAGACGTGTCGCGACTTACACGGCGCCAGACATGATGGGCAGCTTTTAATTGCTCCTTGGGGGAAAGAATCCGTCGACAATGCTCGAGAGCTAGGAGTTGAGTATTGAAGCAAGGAGAGCAGACTAGCTTCCTAGCTTGTGGATGGCAGACGAAGGATGGGGAGAGAAGGAAGAGAAAGGTCGGAGGGAGAAAAAAAGAGATGAGGGAGGTGGCAGATACAAGTACTAGAGCAGCGGAAGCAGTGAGGAGACACACTGCAACGAGGTACGTATATCAAACATAGCGCACTGTAGGGCGAGGTAGCGTCACTAAAATCGGTTCGGTACATTGCAGCGAAGATTTGGGTTGCAGGGCAAGCAGTCGAGATGCGCCAAGAGAAGCGACCATTGGTCCCCGGCCAACGGTGGGGCCATACCTCGTCATGATTATATGAGCCGGGGACCAGACGGGAAGCTATCGTGTCTGCTGCTTGCACGCATCCGTGGTTTCGCAGGCCGCTGGTTGGGCGGCGGCAGGCTTGGGCGGCCGTTGACTCAGCGCTCACAAAGCTCTCCCCCGCGAGGACAAATCCTTGGGTAATCGTCCATACTGACTGCGCAGAGCGAGGTGGTCTCAATGCCAGACCAGACTGACAAACAGACCACTAAGCAAAGTATAATGGCGTCCGATCAAGAATCCTTCCAGCCAGTGGCCAGGCCAGAAGGCAGTGTGGGACTATCAACAAGCTACCCAATGTGACCACCCCGTAGGCAAACGGCCGAGTGCGGAAATACCTGGACCAGCTTGACGGAGGTACCTCGACCGACAGTGCAGTTTACAAGATGGGCATTTGTTAGTGGAAGCTATTCGCCTCATGGCCGCCGTGGGAGCAGCGCTGGAGGGGGAGGGGTAATTCGGCCAGGGAGGGGCATTGACAGGGAGCATCAGGGTGACAGGGTCCCGATGTTCCGTCCGATTTAGCATTAGTCACCCCCATTCAAGAATCGCAAACCCACTGCCTGTGGAACGCCTGAATCAAGTAAAAAAAGAGATCTCCCCAAGCCGAGGAGATGGGCAAGTTGCCTCCTGGACTGGGTGGCTTTGCCCCTAGAACCGCGCCGAGTAAGATCCGATTGAGACAATTTGAGACTACAGCCTCCGGGGAATGCGTCTTGTGACCTCCAAAGAAGCACTTCTATCCGTTGTTCCCAAGCTCGCGGAACCATCGGAGAGGTCAACCACCTCCGTGGGCTTGCCTGGATAGAGTAATCAACTTCGGTGACGTCGGGCCATGTAAGATGCAGTCCAACCAGTGGGGTAATCTCTTACAAAGTGCCGCATCACCAGGAAGCAGGAACCAGCATTGCCAGCCTCCCTCCCACCCCAACAGACAAGCCTTGTGAGGGATTTCACAGCGCTGAGCCACATGCTACGCGGGAGGTGGATTCATTCGCCCAGGTGTCTAGACTGTAATATATCCCGGCACCATTCATCAACAACGACGTGCTTACCTGTCAACGGTCTTAGCCCGTAGCGGGATGCGAGGACGGCCGTCTTTGACCCCAAGCATGGCCCCCCTAGGTTGGCAACAACCGCCGAGCGGTCCCACCGAACAAGTCGTGCCTCGAGAGTCCCGACTCGCCTCCCCAGCTGCTATTAGCGCGGGCTCAAGCAGCTACACCCCAAACAAGAAATTTAAGTTAACATCAAAATGAGGCACTTGATGAAACAAGACAACGGCAAGTACCTACTAAGCGCAGAGTCGTGTGGCAGCCCGGCCCAGAAGCACCGCCATCCCCCTTCTCATCGGACTTATATCCGGATTTATTGTCCCACAGCGGGCCGACCACCGACGAAGAGGCCCAATTCGTCCCCAAACCACAGATTGGATCGACCTGCCCTGGCGTTTGCTCGTCCGGAGAGAACGGCCAGAACGCCGACCTTTGGGACGGTTTCCCGTGGGATTTTCCGTTTCTTAGCATCCGCGTGGACAAAACTAAGCTCCCCTACGCAAATACTCCGACTCGAATTCCTCCCCTAATTTCCTAATATGGGTGGGGGTGGGTCTTCTAGCAACTCGAGGTTATAAGCGACACGGAGCTCAGGCGGAGGCTAGTCCAGCTGGTTGCGGCTCAAATTCCCAATATAAGGACTGTAATTTGCCTGTGTTTCGTAACCTGATTTGTCAACTTTGTTTTTCCCATCCCATCAACTACGGGATGCCGAACATCAGTTACACGTTGCTATCTATGGCATGGTGATCACAAGACGCCTCCTGACGACGGCAAGTATATATATCCCAAATCGGGTGAAATCAAGGCTATTGAAGATGATGTGAAGGAGGACGGTCATCCTGGGTATTATTGAGGGCCACCTGCTGTTGACATAATTGTTAAGAGCATCCACGAAGATACCACAGGCTGCACCTACCGTGCGGCGCGACCGTTCCCCATGGAAGTTCTTCTTTCTACCATTATGAAGATTGTAAAGGAGAAGCAGCTCGAGCTTGATTCTGTCATGGCAACGCCGTATGCAATTCGAGTCAATCTAGCCAGCAAGATGACGCAAGATGAATTCCGCAAGATTGGGGGGATAATGGTGAATGCGAAATATGAGGAAAAGTAATAACACTCCTACAAGTTGTTAGAGATCCCTAAACAGCTCGCTAATAGCTACTTTGGTGATGTCTTCAATGTGCTTATTTGAGGTGACAAAGCACAAGGTACATCAAGTCACAGGATTGTATTTGAGCAACTCATAACAACTAGTATATAAAACAACAAATTATTCAAGTGGTTCTAGAAAATACAATTTTTCTTTTTTCAATGTAGCCGTCCGATTATTCTAGTCGGTCTGGGAATAAATGAAAATCATGTTTATGAGAAGCTGAGTGCAATGTCTTAAGTTGGACATTATTATGTCGACCTGCCAGTCGGCACCAAGGAAAATTATGGGGCCAACTAAGCCCCATCGGGCTCCTCTGATTGGATCGCACCTGCCAAGTGCCTAACTGCCTTGGCCAACTGCATCATCTGTAGGAATTTCCTGAGACCTTCCAGTCTAATCCACCGCTCCATCGACAACAGACGCGTTCTTCGAATCAACGCCCGACGCAGTGGCATTGACATATCATCGTCGGATAAAGCAGCTTTGAGCCTCAAGGCTCAGGTACGTCCCACTATAACAGATAGAGAGAGTCTCCTCTCCTCTCCCTGAGAGTTCATCATGGCCTACCCTCCTCCTCCAGGCACAAGCAACCTCCCCGCGCGACCGCCTCCCTCCAACGACAGCAGCAACGGCGGATCTGGTGGCTTCACCAAAGGCGGCTTCAAACCATCATTCTCGGCTAGCTCAGCATCTCTACCGCAGCAGCCCTACGCACGAACTGCAAGCGCATACTCAGGCGCCAACGCCATCCACGGCCCTATCGCACCCCCTCAGAGCCAGTATGGCCCATCCTCATACACATCCTATAGCGCCCCCGGCACCGTGAACGCACCCCCCTCCTATTCCTCGTCATACCAGCGACAGGCAGCGCCTTCGCGCCAACCACAGGGCTACAACAGCCATGCCTACAGCCAACCCCCGTCCTCGACGTCCTACGCCGCACCACCCAGTATAAAGAACCCCTTCCCCACCCCCGGCACGGCCGCGTCCACAAGTGACTATGATCCCGAGGCGGCCGCGCAATATGCGCAATGGCAGAGCACCTACGTGACCCGCGACCCTGTCGCCACCGGCAAGGATGGCAAGCCGGTCGCGACGGCGGAGCTGCCCAAGCCCGAACCGACGCCCGCGAATTCTGACAAGAAGAAGACGGTCGTGCGTGAGGGCGGCGGCGAGAAGTGGACGGACGACACCCTCCTTGACTGGGACCAGTCGCACCTGCGGCTGTTCGTCGGTAACCTGGCCGGCGAGACGACTGACGACTCGCTGTTCAAGGCCTTCTCCCGCTGGGGTTCCTTGCAGAAATCGCGGGTCGTGCGGGACAAGCGCACAAACAAGTCCAAAGGGTACGGATTCGTGAGTTTCAGTGATGCAGACGATTTTTTCCAGGCGGCCAAGGAGATGAACGGCAAGTACATTCAGAGCCATCCCGTTGTGGTCCGGAAGGCGAAGACGGAGATCAAAGTAACAAATGCCAAGGACAAGGACAAGGGTCGTCATAAGAACAACAGGAAGAACCATAATGGCGGCAATGGAAGCGGCAGCGGCGGCGGCGGCGGCAGTGGTGGATATGAACCCAATTTGGGCCCTCATGGCGGTGCCACTAAGATTGGCAAGAAGACGAAGAATGGACTTCGACTTCTCGGCTAGGGATGCCAAATGTGACAAGATAGCGGGCCAGGTTTGGAGGGTTCAATAATGAGAAAATGACGGTGATCGCCATGGGATTCAAGCATCAGAAGCATGCTTTGGATGAGATCTTCTAAAGGTCAGTACCGTTGACGGCTACTGCAAGCTTTAATGCACTAGAAACAAAATGTAGAAATAATCAAAACTGGCGATATCAAATAACCCTTTTTTTAACAGGAGAACGACTCAAAACTGATTTATATTGGGTATCATGCAAAGTGTCTATAACCTTGAATTCCCTTGTCCCGCCGTGTTCTCCTTGCATTGCCTTGAAATTCCAACTCTGATATGTAGGCACATCAAGTGATGCTTAAATCAAATTTACCCTCCGTGGACGTGAACCGGATTCGGTGTATAGCCGTATAATCTTGTTACAAGCAGTAAGAAAAAAAGGGCTCCGAATATTTATCAAAAAAGATGGTGATACAATGGTATATGATAAGAAATGGGAAACAATAAGAAAATATGCTCGCTAAACGATTGAGTGCGGCGTTTTGAATAATCCGCCGTGTACAGCTGAAAGGTTTATTTATTCGTGATGGAGAGGGGCCTGTTGCGACTTTGGCTCTGGTCCTGTTTGGGGTATCACACTCGGCTGAAAATCACCATCCGAGGTGACCATTGGGCTATTCCTATCAATGGTCGGAGGTAGTAGGCCTGCCGTTTCTTCATACGAGTCATCGTCGGCATCACTATCGGTATCGCTGGATGGCATTGAAGAAGCTTGTTGGTAGCGTGGTTCGGACTGCTCCTGTGCCTCTTGCCGCATCTTGGAAATTTTGATATAGTTGTAGGCAATAATCGCGATTAATGTGACGACAAGTCCAATCGCATTGATAGGGGTCAACTTGTCGTGGAACACAAGAGAAGCAGCCGAGATAGTGACGACCTCCTTGAAAATTCCAGCAATGGAGAGGGTGACTACTGAGGTGCGCTGGAGCAAAGCGAACTCGGAGGCGGTCATAAGGAACGCGATACAACCCGGGAACAACAAGAAGAGAGGTGCAAGGAATGCGCCGTATGCAGCAGTGAGGACTCCATATCCCTCCCAGAGCGGACCGAATCCCTCAACCGGAATAGCCAATCCAAATAGGATCACAAACATGATTGGACTGATAAAGAAGATGCTCGAGAAGGGATTTGAGGTGGCGGGATGACGGAGGAGGAGAATTTGAGTCAAGCTCCAGCGAAAGCCAGAGAAGAATGCGGCTGAAATGACGAGAGCGAATCCACCAAGTTTGAATTCAACCTCGCCAAACACCATCAAAACTACTCCAATTGTCATCACTGTGATGATTGTAACGAGTCGCCAGGTCGGGGTTTCGAGACGAAATAAAAAGGCGAAGATTAAAACGAAGGCAAGAGACGATGATTTACACATGGCTATTATTTATGTCAACATCTTGCTCAAACATAATCATATCCAGGGGAGAATTGTGGGAGCTGAGACTCACTGTAAAAGGTAAGACTGATGAATTTCAGTGACATGTTTCCCAGGCCAATGTCGAGGCCAGTGGCGGCTCCACAGGGACCAACTCTTGTGAAGTAGAACATCTTGGTCATCAGAGGAGCATTTGTTGGCTCCGACTCGTGTCTTGATCTACCCAGATCCGAGTTCCGGGATGCCTGTGGTCGGAAGCCGGGTATGAAGTAGAGAACCAGCGCAGCCAGGGCGAACTGAACTAGCATGTGCATGGAGGTTGTGAACAGAGGAAAGGAGAAGTTGAGTTTGTTCTTGTCAAACATCCATTTGTTGTACTGTCAAGGCGCAACGTTAGTTATGGTGTCTCTTGATGGGATTTGGTATGGCAGGTACAAGAACAACACAGTCGAATGTCAGCAACGGGATAACACTTACTAATGAAAGAGAAAGCGAGAAGATATACCACAAGAGGATCAAGGCAATGTTAATTGCGATCCGCTTGATAAGACTCCTGTCCACCTCCTTTTGTTCATCCCGCGAAAGGGGCTTGTCTCTGACCACGCGCTGGTCGAGTTGCGTGTTCCTCCTTTTTCTCTTCTGCCTGCGTTTCTTCTCCTTCTTGGACAAACCAGTCTCCTCGTCATCTCGTAGAGTGTCGTCGTCTTCGTCGCTATAGCCATCGGTGAACCGTTCCTCGTTTGGCGACCTGGAAAACCCAATTGGCGACGCTTCTTCGGAAATCTTTGGCTCTTCGTTAAAGCCTGGACCAGTGCCAGCAGCAACGGAGGGATGGCGGCTGGGGTGGAAAGTACGGAGACTCTGAGATCTGGGGCGCCCAATTGGGGACGCAGGCAGGCCGCCGATGGGGCTCATCAAGCTGCTCTTGCGCCGTCGATGACCAGCGATGGGCTCCATCTCGATGTCGTCGCGAGCTGAGCTCCCTGCTCGTGATCGAGTCGAAGACTGGCCTGGGGAATATGATCGAGTTGAAGCAGGGCCGGCAGGGCCGGTAGGAGACAAGGAGGAGGACGAGCCACCAGTCAGGTTCGCGGGTGAGTCGAGGAGAGAAGCAGGTTCCTGGGCAGGAAGATTGAAGGGAGCAGAGGGGAAAGAAGAGGAAGAAGCCCCCGGGGTGGACCGAGTGGTGGGCATCTTGGGCCCGTCATGTGAATATATGTACAATCGTGGATCGGGGGAGGGAGTAGTGCGGTGCGGTGCCTGAACTAACCAGCAGCTCGCCACAACCAGCCAAGAGAGAGAGCGACAATCATTGACGGGGATGTTTTACAGTTCTGGGACGAGTGGACATTGCAGTTGGCTGGCCTCCCGTCCCGCCCCTGCTTAGTCTAGATTGGCTCTTGATGAGTGGCTTGTGTGGGTGGATGCGACCAGAGTCAACCTTCTTGGCAGGAATTAATTAGGTAATCAGCAAACTCGCTGATAGGCCGGGCGTCGTTGTTATTGCGTGTAACCCCTTTAGAAGAGACCAGGCTCTCACCGTCTGCAGCGCCAGGTTTGAAAGCAATTGTGAAATTGAAGCATTGAGAGCACTATGTCCTGCGCCTGGGCTACACTTGTGAATGATCAGGACTAGGACTGTGCACTGGTGGGTGCTACCAAGTCCCCTACCCCAGTCAGCTGACCACCGAACTCGGCAGCGAGCAACAGGTCCTCCATGTTGCTACGGATGTTGATCGCCTTATGTTGTGGCAGATCCTCTGACTGTTGCACCAAGGACTGACTAATTGGCCCTCGCATCTCTTGTCTGAGTCGCATGTCGTGCTACCTAGCGGAGTGTTTTTCTTCCCAAGACTCATTCTGTCATACTATTAATATAATCACTCCAAGATGTCTAAGTTGAATCTCGGAGCCGTGTGTGACCGACCATTTCAGGTGGGGAGGCCAAGGAGCTTCTTGTTGTGGCTTGTCGACCGCTCTTCAGGTTGCACCTTGTTAGACCAACAACCACATGGGGTTGGTTAAGCCGCGGCAATGGTTTACTTGGCTACACAGCGCTGGATTGCATGAAAACAGGGCAAAATAGCTCACCAGATCCAGTCATGCCTCTAGGGACGGTGAGTGTGTGGGAGGTGAACGCAAATGGGTACCATCATAGAGTGCATGCATATGCTTGCACATAATCTGATGGCTTGAGCCGAACCAGTGCCTTGTGAGACATGCCTAACGCGGCGCCTTGATTAAGTCCGCCCGACATGATCATTCCCTTCCAGTAAAATTGTTGCCCCGTTGCGTTGGCATCAAAGCACGATGACATGCGCTGGATCAAAGAAGGAGTTGAGAAGCACTGATTGTTCGCTGCAATATCACCACCATCCATCCCTATACCTACCTGCCTCCACACATGCACGAATGAGCTGGCACAACGACTATAATTACACGATTAATGACATGCACGACGCAGAAGGATGAGCAATCCTCCATAATAAAAGTCTTGGCGGCCAAGTCAGCCGCGCACACTTCTGGCGGTGATGGATGCTCTGTCCACAGCGGCACATCCACCCGGATGGTTCGCTCCCTCTAGCACGGTCTCAGGGCCTTTCGGCAAGACAGAGGTGCTGGATCCCCGCTGAGTCTCCGCTGAGGGCCACTAAAAAACAGCCCACCGCCTGTCCGTCGCCGGGCAGTTTTTGCTTAGCAAGTGTCCGTCCCTCTGCCGATACTCAGAAGAGATCAATGATGCCATAGATACCGTGCGTTGTATTTCTTTCCTACTACATGAGTCTATCGGGTAATTTAGCTACTCTGTCCCGCTTAATAACTAGGTACGAATCAGTTGCCCTTCCGTTACCTTGACCGGCCGTGGTCAGTCCAGCCTCTGATGAACGGTGTGTGTGGCTGGTGGCCTCGGCCTCCACTGTCACACGACAGGACAGGATCAACGAGGATTGGGCTGCCTTGAAATATTGGGATGGGATCCATCACACAGTCCCAGTGCTTTACCCAACTGGTTCTCTCCCTAATCGATCACATGGAAGCTCCCGGCCCGCATTTCGCAAGCCATGACAGCTTTGTCTAACCTCGACCTTGAGTCTCAACTACCCCAACCCCAAAAGCAGATGAGGAAATATGCCAGGTGATCATCCAGTCCCCATCTCTGTGGTGTCTTGCTTGCCAAGATTGGCTAAGTCCACCAGCCTTGTCCATCCCCACCACTCTCCCATTTCCTCCACATCTTGGGACAGCTTGGGACAGCATCCGATTCGGGACCTTGATCCGGGGTGGGTATGCTGGTGGCCCTGAGGGGGATCGCAATTTGGGGGGCCCCAAGACTCCCAGCTTGCGGCAATTCATCCACGAGGTAGCAACCGGTGACTCGATTGCACTGCAAGGGCGCGAAGCGCATTGCTACCTCATTACAGGGTAGATGCAGGCAGTTTGCCGACCAGATGCATGCCAAGCGAGAAATGGGGAATTATTGAACAAGGGAATCTAACAACCTGGTCAAACCTGAGCTTAATCATCTTCCTTGGTGCCTTCTGACTTGCTCACCCTCCCTAGACTCGAAATCCATCAGCAGGCCAGAGCAAAATCTTAGGGAGGCCAGGCCCTGTCCATCCTTCTCCCTCGCTAGCCCAGGTAATTACCCCAGATTATTGCACCCTGCCATCGCGCGCCAGATCGAGTATTGCGGGGGTTGAGCAGTAATCTCCCTAGTCTACGCCAAGCACATCCTGATGATGTCTGTGTAGATGCGTATAAAAGTCAACGCATGGGCAATTGGGAGGAGTCGGCACTTGCGATGGATGAATCAGCTGTGACAGAGCCATTACTACTGCTGAGAGCAGGTGCAACCCGCTCAACGTGTTTGGCTGAGATCGATACAGGCGGATACCTCGGGCCTTAACCATGTACAGTAAGAAATTCGTCATACATTTGTTGTAGGCTTTGAACCTCTCTCGTAGCGGATACAACACATGTGTCTGTGCAATCTGTTGCTCGTTGAACTATAAAGGAAACCGCGCCCAATGGCTGAGCTGTGCCGTTTGGCTCGCCGTTAAATAAGCTCAATTGCCCATCAACCTCCTTTGCTCCTTCTCCGCACTTGCCGCGCCCGGATTCCAGGCCTACAACACAATTGAAGGCAGGGTAGAGCCTATTCCACCTCATCAAACAATTGCCATTGACAGCTCTACTGCCATAATCTACCAGATTGCGCACTGAGCCCTCCAAAGCCGAGCCAAGATGGGTACAGAATGCCCTATCGCCCACCCGGGCCTGTCCCGCCGTGCTCAAACTGGCGGCTACCTCCCAATTGAGGATTATGGTATGATTGGGAACATGCGCACCTGTGCATTAGTTGGTGTTGACGGGAGCGTCGATTTTATGTGCTGGTGAGTGGCCCATCATTCAATTCATGAGATCATATGCAGTCAGCAGTCCATGTCATATGAAGTCCGTCCCAACCAGTCGCAACTGACAGATTGATGCTGTACCTGGACTCTAGGCCAGAGTTTGACTCACCCTCCATCTTTTGTCGTCTACTGGACAAGGACAAGGGAGGGCATTTCAGTATCAGTCCCCCAGGTTCGCTCAGCTGCACCACCAAGCAGCAGTATCTACCCTCCTCGTGCATTCTCCAGACCCGCTACATCCATGAAGACGGTGTTGTTGATTTGGTTGACTTCTTTCCTCGCCCAAAAGACGCCCATGTTATGACCAAGGCCAACACTCAGAGCTCGTACAGAGAAGCAACCAAGGTTCAAGAGGAGCTCAAAAGGTGGTTGGTGAGACGGGTCGAATGTATCCGCGGATCCCTTACTCTGGGTGGGTAGTTACTCTGCCAATTCTTCCCAGTATCCAAATACCTTGTTTTAAGCTTACAAGTTTTGGCAGACATTGAAATCTTTCCTGCTTTTGGTTACGGCAGAGACCCTCATGAAACCACTCTTCTTGTTGAAACCCACACGGCAGACACTCACCAGAGCAAGGCCGCCACATTTCACAGTAAAGATCAAAAACTTCAGCTTGATGTTGCCGTGGATCGGGGAGATGATGATGCGGGCAGTCCAACCATCACTTTCCAGAAGGTGAAGCGACCCGCGCTTCTTGGAGAGGGCTTAGTCGCTCGTATCCAGATCCAGGAGGGCCAAGCCATATCATTCGTCTTGCGTAATGATGTTCAGAGTCATGTCACTGAGCATATCACTACTCTTGTACTTGATCAGCAGCAGCATGACACGCAGCGCTTCTGGTACAACTTCATCAGCCAGTCCAAGTATCGCGGCCGATGGATGGAGGTAGTGTCACGAAGTCTGATGCTCCTCAAAATGATGACATTTGGTACGTACATTGTTGAAAAGCAATATATCAAGTACTGATCCCATTTCCTTTTCTTTGTGCAGAGCCTACCGGCGCCATTGTTGCCTCGCCGACGTTCTCTATCCCGGAGGACGTCGGAGGGGTACGAAATTGGGACTATCGATATTGTTGGGTGAGAGACGCGAGTTTCTCCATCTACATCCTCCTGCGACTCGGGTTCAAAGAAGAAGCAGATGCGTATATGAACTTTATCATGGAGCGCTTCGTTCACTCGCGGCTTCCCGATGGAGGCCTTCCCATTATGTTCACCATTCATGGAGGCACAGATATCCCTGAGATCACCCTAGACCACTTCGAAGGCTATCGGGGAAGCAAGCCGGTTCGCATTGGCAACGGGGCTGCTTTCCATCAGCAGTTCGATATTTATGGCGAGCTGATGGATGCTATCTACCTGTATAACAAGTACGGGAAACCCGTTCACTGGGAGATTTGGAAGGCTGTACGCGAGATCCTTGACTATGTCCTAACAATTATGCACGGTAAGTGACTCTGGGTCATATGTCTTCGTTCTGTACTATTTCTGTCTAAAAAAAAATCTAACCGATGCTAGAACCCGATATGTCTATTTGGGAGGTTCGAAGCAACAAGCAGCGGTACACCTATTCGCAGGTTATGCTCTGGGTTGCCTTTGATCGAGGCCTGCGTCTTGCCGAAAAGAGATGCTTCCCATGCCCGAACCGCGAGAATTGGATGCGCGCCCGAGACAGTCTGTACGAAGAGATTATGGAAAAGGGTGAGTTTCAAGCTCTTCATACACATGGATCACGCAGTGAATTAACCCTCTACCAAGGATACGACACTAAGACACAGACATTTGTCCAGAGCTACGGAAGCACAGCACTTGATTCATCCATCCTTATCGCCCCGTTGGTATTCTTCATCTCGCCATGTGATCCACGATTCACAAACACTCTTGATAAGATTCTACTTCCACCCGAGAAGGGTGGTCTTACAGAAACAGGCCTGGTGCACCGATATGACACCGAGCTCTCAGAGGATGGTAAGTTCTAATAGCACACAATCTTTTGGTTTTACAAACGACAAGTCATCGCCTAACAATTTTAATTGTCTTCCCATCTACAGGAGTCGGAGGGAAAGAGGGGGCATTCAGCATGTGCACATTCTGGCTTGTCGAAGCCATGATACGTGCCAGTGTCTACGAGCCCAAGTACCGGATCCGAGCTATCAATCTCTTCGAAAATATGCTCGGCTTCTCGAATCACTTGTGTATGTTCTCTGAAGAGATCGCCCGCACTGGAGAACAACTCGGAAACACGCCTCAGGCCTTCAGCCACCTCGCGCTCGTCAGCGCTGCGTTCAATATCGATCGTGCTACAGGAGGTTCAAGGAGTTAAATTTAGTCTGGCCCGGACCGAGGAGAGTATTACGTTCTCAGTCTATCTATCTCTGTATGCAAGAGCCAGCCTTCTATTTTGGTGGGCATTTAATATCGAGAGAGTCATCACATGGTCGGACAGGCAGATAGGTATGCATGTAAGAAGGGAACAAAGGACCATGTTGATTTTATTCAAAGACAACTACATTTTATGGAAAAAACCAAATATCATATCGGCCCATCTACCATGTCTTCGATAACAGCCTGCCCAAATGCTTAGATAAGAGTCCTGTCCGGTACCTTCAACAAGCCGGAATTCATCGCCCTAGTCGGCTGAGGAAGTCGCACAACTTTTGCAATCGATGATTTGCGGGCTATTGGTATAGATAGTCGGGGTGTGGGACTTGAGTGATGGCTGTCCACTGCAACGTCTATTGGCTTAGGCTTAGGAATGGCACGAAGGATTGGAAGAGCTGATGTGGTTCTCGCGGTCTCTCGATCTTTGTCTGACGCAGTATTTGACTTTTGGCTGATCGGTATTTTCGTGTCGCTTGGTGTTCCCGGGATTTTCGTCTTCGGAAGTGCTTCTGGGAGTTGGCTGTCGGTCTTTCGTTGCTGCGGAATGCAGCTTCTGAACGGTTCTAAGGGATGAGAGGGTATAACTGCGGAGCCATCTTTCTCGGCCAAGGTTCGAGGTTCGATTTTCTCGGTGTCTGGCAGACTTGGGGATTCAGTATCTCTTTCCACTTCTTTCCCATAGCTTTGAAGACGGCCGTTGAGCGAATAGATCCAACCGTCCTGTTTATCAGTTTCTCGAGAATCTTGGTCGACTTGGGTCGTAGAATCTGGTTCAGAGTCCTGGCTATCCGTCTCTCCAGTATTGTGGTCGACTTTGGTAGCAGAATCTGGTTCAGAGTCCAGATTGTCCGTCTCTCGAGAACCCTGGTCTACTTCGGTTGTAGAATTTGGTTTAGAATCCTGGTGAGATTCCGCATCATGATTCCCTTCATGCTCCATGTCCTCTCCATCCATAGGCTTAATAGCACATTTCTCGCCTTCGTTCGTCGGATGGGACAAGATCACCTTGCTGCACTCCTCATGGTATCCCCGGATGTTGGCCAAAAAAGCCTCACAGGCCTTCTTTAGTCTGCATCTCTCGCAATCCTTAAACAACCTCCAAGAATGCCACGGATGTCCTTCTTTGATCATGCATTCATGGGCTATGCCACGCTGCTGGTAGTCCTCACCAACCGTGCACTGCTTCACACGGCCGGTCCAAGCGGCATGATTGCATTTGAAAAAAACCCGTTTGTAGATGCACATGATCGATTCAATGAAAATAACCAGATTCAAGAAGCAAAAATATCACCCTCTGAGGAAGGAAACCTGTTAATACAAGAACAGAAGAATTGCCTGCATTGAGAACAGCAGCAAAAGCAAAAGCAAAAGCAAAAGGAGCATGCGGTCGCTTATGAAAGAAGAAATCATGCATTCTGATATTGAATCATAAAATCAAAGGCGCCTTGTTTCAAATGTTTTCGAGTTAATCAGTGCTGTTCACGTAAACACAGTCATTGTATAGGCTGATCCGCGTCATCAAAGTATTGTTTGTTTACTTGTGGCTTCGGGCACAGACAACGGGTAGCTGCGTAAAATCAATATACCGCCGGGTCCCTTTGAGCAGCCTTACTTTTCAAACTGTTCGAGGAACCCGCTCTGGAGCACTTCTTGGAAGTCCCGCGCCCAGCATATGTTTGCACCTGCTTTGTTCTCGCCCCGACCTCCCTTTGAGGCATGCGGCACTGGGAAGCCTAGTCTTCGGAGCGTCTGCACTAGTGTTGAATTTGAATCATCGGATGTAATCGAAACGCCTGCTGTGCCGTTTGCCAGGCATTCCAGATCAGTCGTCGAGTCTCCAAAGTACACGGTCGGAATGCTGTTCTCGGAGACTTCAGCCGCATCCCTGGCGTTGAACTCCCCTCTGTACACATGTAGCTTTCCAGAACAGTTTGTTAGCGGTCTCCCCAGGCAATCGGGGCCCTTTATCTTCCCGCCTTGGGAGATCTCGTTAGCTAGAACGTGAAACTCCGGGTCGTCGAGGACGCCCTGGATGAATGCGCAGGACCAATTGACGGATATCACGCCAACGTCCCAGCCTTTGTCTTGGGCAGCGCTCAGGAGCTCCTTGAAGCCACGCCGGAGGACAATTCTTCCCGAGCTCACGGCCTCAGAGCCCATGCGGAACAGATCCGTCGAGGTCAGCCCTGCGAAGACGCCCGACTGCTCAACCCTCAGTAAGGACGAGGACTCTACGTCCTCGGCGCCGGCCAGGAATTTGACCTCGTCAGATAAGGTTCGCCGGTCAATCTCGTCGGTGGGATACAATTCTTGGTAACGGCGGTAGTCCTCCACATATTTGCGAACTACGTCATCCCAGCGGGCCGAGAGATCCTCGCCATTGGAGGCGCGCTGGTGCGCAATGCCCGCCTTGGCAAAAGTAGATATGGTGTCCTTCTCGGTGATTGTTCCGTCAAAATCGAATATGAGACGCATGTTGGCTCTTATTGCGTGGTTTGGAGGGAAGAAGATTGGTTTGTAAGGGGAGAGTTGGTGGCGATCGAGATGGAGATGGAGCTTGCGGAGCATTTGGCTGGAACGATGTGTCTCGTGATGGGAGAGGAGGAAACCCCAGGCGGATGGTTACTAGGGCATTTGTAAGTGAAAAGCTACCCGCCTCTTTTAATTAACCCACGAACCAATCGGTTCACCAATAAATGCATGAGGCTGCAGATCAGGACTTAAAGATAGGGAGGATGGTGGGTAAATAAACCGACCTGTGGGTCTCACTGCTGGTGAAATACAAACAGACATCCAGATATTGATTGATTGAATTGATTCTCAAATGCATTCAGATTGTTATTCCAGAAGCCCTCCAACTAATAGGAGAGGGCATTGTATGGAAAGCAGTCTCGGCTGCTTATCCTATTTGTGTTAAGTCTATGGCGAAGGGTATCAGACTGAGTTCCCTTATAGCTATAACGTAGAGTATATAGGTAGCGAAATAGAACCTTCCATATCAAACGCCAGAAAAAAAGCACCGAGAAGTAACAAACCCTTAGAGATCAATTAAGCTGGCAAGATATCCTCCATCTCCTCATCATCATCATCGTCGTCCTCCTCCGCTGCTGCGGCCTCCTCCTTGGCCTCGCTTCCTGCCTTGTCCCGGTAGGCATCGCTCAGGGTGTAGTGGTTAGCGAATGAACCGCTCTTGATGAGGACTGCCACCTCATCGACCACTTGACGCAACCAAGCCTCGGGCTGCTGGGTTCTTTGTCGGAGGGCTTTCATAGACCAATACTGATATTGCCTGAAGCAATCGAAAATAAGATCCAGAAGCTGGTTCTTGGGTAGACGTGCGTTCTTGACCACCTCGGCTCTCTTCGGCTTGACAGTGGGCGCGGCGTTTTTCTTTTCAGACATGAGATTAGCTTTGCCACCACATTGCCCCTAATACGTTGATAGATAAAGACGTATGTACTCACAATGAAGTTGTTGCCCCATCCAGCGGACCCAGCAATGCCAGGGTTGATGATGGCCGAGGCCTTGTTGCGACTGATGACTCGGACGCCTGCCTTCGTATCCGCCTCCAACAGTCGCTGCGCGAGCAATCGGGTTTCCTCGGTCTTATCTCGGGGCTCCAGACGCACGTCGTAGTTGATCTTGCCTGTGATCTTCGTTTTCTCTATGTCAACTCGGTTAGTACGTGATATCAAGCATCTGGCATGAAGAAAAGAACAGGTACGAACTGGGAATAGCCTTTCGATAGTATGGCTGGAACCGGTTTCGACGATCGTAATGTGGTTTCTGGCCTCCGCCCTCCTTGGCCCTCAATGCCGACATGGGAATGCCAGCATTCGCAGCTTCGGTGCGCGCCTTGTTCTTTGCCTTGTAGCTCTCGAGATCTCGCTCGCTGAAGATGTAGTGGTTCTTAACCTGGCTATCTAGTAATTCCACGTCGTATTCTCGGGGCAGCAGCTGGTGCTCGGGATGGCCATCGTTAAGCAAGAGTCGCAGCTTGGTCTATGGAACGACAGTTAGTCAAACAGTGGCAGGCAATACGCAAATCCAAATTGCATACCTGGGATCCTCCGTTCGGCTGCTCTTCATACCAGGTTCGCATTGTGCCAATCTGAATCTGGTCATCATCGCCCAACTTTTCGGTCATCTTCATCCAGGCATCCCAGATGTACTTGGGCACGCGCGCAAGATAGAGGTTTTCCGAGTTCAGCTCGCCACCGGTGTCTCCATAAAACTCCAGGTCGCCAGCATCCTCGTACAAGTCGTCGTCATAAGCGGGCGCGTTGATGGCAGCCGAAGAGTCGGCATCTGGCTCTGGCTTGACGTGCGCTGCGTCGGCCATGTTGGCGACCACAATAGTGGAAACAAGTTGCGGAGAGGGAACGAGGCGAGCCGGCTGGGAGAGAGATTCGCGCTCGGGGAAACAGCGATCGCAAGGGGCGTCGTTTAGATTGCCATCCAAGAAACGTCGGTGTAATGGGAGAAGTCGGCGCTTCCTGTGACGAGAACAAAGAGGTTGAGTCCTTGTCTCTTTGTCCAGCGACCTCGTTCCTTGCTTAGGAGGCGCGGGTCATCGAGCTCGGCGCTTTAGGTTCAATTAGGTAAGGCCACCAAAAGTGGGTTCCGGCGCAGGAGTGGGCCCGCGCAAGGTTTCCAGCTAAAAGCCCCAGATTCAAGCTGCACCTTATGTAGGACAAAACGCAGGCTTCCATGCCAGCTTATAGGTAGGAGTAAGTGCCGTGGGTTCATGCTTTTCGAGACCCCGTTGACACACCGTCTTTGACGGTAGGGCACTCAATCAAGGCTGTCTCCAACTTTCTGCCGCGTGTCAGCACTGCCGCCGTTGGTCAAGGACAGATTCTCCTTGATATGGGGATATGATGAAGTACTCAGGTATTAGCAAGACTAGATGCATGACATGACAGTTGTCCAGAGCACATCAAGTATTCAACCTCGCCGAGAGACCTCCAAGCCACTACTTACTTTTCACTTCGAGCCATCTTCTTTCTCCCTCGCTTCAGCAGCGACAAGACAGGGCCAACGAAATAAGCGGGGTGGAGGCCTAATGCAGCAGTAGTAAATGGCAAAGTCAATAGGCATGCCGATAGGGTGCATGTAGATGCTAGACGCGGATCCCAGCCAAGTCTCCAGCCGGCCGTATAAATAGCACGTTCCCACTCCTTCTACCCGCTCACTCAGCCACATGACATTTCATCGTGCAAGCATCCTCAGCCATTCATTCGAAAGCAGACAACGCATTGCTGACCTCATTCTTTCCTTCTGCTCTGATTTGGCTTGATCTTGCTCTTCCTTCCTGTACATGCCCGAGCGCGATTCTTAATATACTCCTGCCTCTCCCTCCAGCATCAAGACCATGAACAGGACCTCAACCAACATTAACCGGGCCGTCAATACGTCTCTCCTGACGTGATCGCAACCGTTCGCATCGATATACCCACACTCGATACACAGCGCAACTTCTGATTTTATAACCAATTACGTCGCTATTCACACGGACAGAAAACTCCCTTGTATTCGCCATGCGTGTCCGATCGCTGGTCGACCTGGCCACGGCCGCCTGTATCAAGAACATCCGCGGGCTCGAAGGCGTCGGCGACTATCTCCCCTACGAAAACGTCAGGCACATTCTCCTCCGGGTTGAGAATGCCCACCAGCTCCGCCGCATCGAACTCAACTCCCCACAGATCGAAGGCAAGACGGGCGAGATCTGGCTGAAGCTTATAGAGAAAGACTTCCCCATCGAGTACCGGGCCCGAGGCTACAAGCCCCAGGACCCCAAGAAATGGTTCAAGGTTTGGGAGAAGTACAAACGAGAGCACGATGACTCGGTCAAGGAGAGCGCCATGAAGCTCAAAGACGCCTTTGCCGGGCTCAAGCAGGACAGGGAGAAGAACACAAGTAAGATCGTCGAGAGGCGGTTGCTTCCGCGCAGTGGTGCTACAGGACCCCCCAGAAGATATGGACCTCGAGAAGGAACTTCCAACTCTCTCATGTTTGGCAGCGGTAGCCGCACCAAGACCCTCAGTGGCGCCGGGGTTATGCGCAAAGTTAGACGAGAGGTCAAGGAGATCGCAAACATCCACGGCAGCTTATCCAAGTCTGTCAGGGGCCCTGTTCGGCACTCTGGCGTGAACAAAGCTCCAGTGTCAATGGTGAATGCGTACAAGAGAGCCGCAAGACCGGCACAGGCGCCATTGCGCCCACCGCCACAAGAGCCACCCAAG